ATCTACCTTACTTTCCTGTTAAACTCTTCACGAGGACATAGTTATTTTAGGTAGTTTTGAGTCGATTTAAAAACAAAGCCTTTGTTGCCATCTTTTCAAGAAGGAGATCAAAGCCATTATAGGAATCCGAAATACTATTACAAAGTAATAAGAGATTAATACACGGCAGAGTAGGGCCGGAAGGTGATAATCGGCCCGCAAAATGAATAATGGCCCCGAGGGCTTCAGCCCGAGGGCAGCCGATTATCACCTTCTGGCACAACTGGGTCATTCTATTATTTTTGGCTACTTTGATAATACAGCATGTGTCAATTACAGTATTACAGAAGTGTGCCTTTTGTTACATAATTGTGTAAGGACATCATCTGTCAGTGCATTTCTGGTAATGATTATGACTAGAAATGTACTTAACAATAAAAACAGTTGTAGTTTGTCTGCACTGGAGAAAGGAAATATCATTTCCGTAACCAAACATTTCATTGTGATATTTTTTTAGAAAGTGATGATTTCAATCAAAGCTTAAATTCAGACAATACATTTTAACATTTTAGTGCCGAGAAAACGTCAAAAACTGCGTTTTATGCTTTTGGAAATAAACAATTTGCTTAATTTAAGTGTTAATAAAAAAAGATAAGTGAAAATGGTCAAGTATTTGTATTAGCAGGATCTATTCGATCAAAGTAGAAGATAAACAATGATGTCCAAGCATGAATTGAGAACTGTACTGTAAATTGTTCATTTAGTTTATATAATATACCTTTTGCCAATATAAATATTATGAATATTTTGATATGTTACGGGAATGAAATGTTGGTTTCGGTAATGACAATTTAGTTACGGAAATGACAATAAAGTAAACATAAGGAAATTATTCAAATTTATTCCCATAACATCGTTAACCACTAAACTTTTACAGATAAACATGTACATCAGTACCTCAAACCTTCTTTTCATTAATTTACATAACAGTTAAAGCAAATCATATTTCAGAGATCAAATTCATGATTATATTAAGAAACGATTTTGGATAAAATTCTTCAAAGTATAGGATACACCAAATGAGATCTCTGGAAACAAATCATTAAACTAAAGATAACTTAACAATCTTTAAAATATAAAAAATGGAATGTCAGACATTTCATTTATGATTTTATATCACGACACCTTTACTCTTTTAAATTTTATAAGCTGCAATCAATGCAAAGTCTGAGTAGCAGTTTTTTTATATTTCTTTAATAAATATCTCACTGTTTTGATTGGAGTTTAGAGACAGCTCATTTTTGATGATGACAAATATATAACATGCTTTCTAAGAAAACAGAACAACAGTATTATATTCTAGTTGACTGGAATATTGTGAAACCACAAGTCTGTACATCCGTAAATTCACACAGCGTTATTTAAGGTATGAGCCCCCTAATAGACACTATAAGGAACTATAAAATTGACAACATTAATCAGTTATATACCTGAAAAGACACAAGAATGCAAAATCTAAACAAACTTTACCGTATAGTTTACGAGTTATGGATATTCTTATTTTTATTAAGTAAAAATTGCCTATTAGAAGGGCTCGTTTTCAGAAATGAGAAACCTAAATATTCTATTTAATAATCATTATGAAAAAATGTTTTCCTATAGAACATTTTTAAGAAACAAATAATAGCATTCAGCTAACAAATTACCCAGCAAAATTATTGTTTCTACTCAAAATGTTTGAAATATGTATTTAAATGTTACCCTACCCAATCCATTTTAAGTAGTTGTTTGATCATTTTTCTACTTGGCAGGCCTTATCTAAAATATCCCTAAATTTACTAATCAAAGTTTGCATAATTTTTTTAAAGTATATTTTTTGCGCTTGTCAAATATAAAATACTTTACCGTCAAGTTTTTATTTTACTAGACTTTGAAAATATCAGGTACCATATTTGATAATAAATTTTTGAACAATTTAGCCGATAAATACCAATAATATTTTCTTAATTAAAATGAAACACTTTTTTTCTTAAGAGTGATCTGAGAGACGCAAATAATGTTCAAAGAAAAAAAGGAAGAAAAAAATTGCCTCTCCTGGGGCTTGAACCCGCGCCCCTCAGTTACAATTAAGTTTACAGTAGTCCTAGTCTATTTGAATACTCTTCAAAGTTGAGATAATGCATTAGGTGGATCATACCTTAACGAAATAAACTGTTTTCCTATGGACATATCTATAATTAACAAAACTTAGAACAAAGCAAACTTTTTAAACGCCAACCTTTTAACCACGAACAATCATATCTCATTCCTCATGTTAAGTCGCTTATGACTTTTTTTAATTATTGCATTCAGTGATTTCCTAATATGTCTTTTATTATTTTATAGTGGCTCTGGGGCGACTTAAGAAATGTAATGACCTTATCGAAGTGATACCAACATATATCAGGAAGTAAAGGCCAAAAATATTTGTTTGGTAATTTTGGGCTGACTTTATGCATCACTTGGACTTGTAGGTCATTTTCATCAACATCCAACACCCTGCCTGGATATGGAATACCGTCATATATATAACAACAATGTATTGATGAATTAATGTTTCATCTACTGTGTCTATTGGCTGAAGTACTGGTTCATTGTCCTGAAAAACAAAATTATACAATTATATAAAGATATATGCTTATTTCACAACACTTGGCATAAGATAATTGTAGACACAATCATTCTCGGTTATAAACAATTTACAAATGAATTTTTCAGTAAAGTTATAATGACAATCATTTATTCGATTATTTAATGATTTTGTTAAATGTCAATGAAAATTGTGAGGACTTACTTTTGATTTCATCTGTGGCAGAGTTTCAGATTGCTTTTGTGGATTTGTAATAGCAGGTTGAGCCAATTCTGAATGTCCATTAGAAACGCTAGACTGGTAATCAATAGACTTTGAACTTTGATCATACTGAAATCAAAATATTGTAAATATATATACACAAAAAATATTACAAAAGAGATATCATCAAAAGCAAAGAAAACAAACACAAATAGTTGACAACTGCAGACTCGCCTACAAACACTTACATATATTAATAAAAGTGTGATTCAGTTAATACGCATACTTTCTATATACTTGATTAAGTACATATAATTTTAAAAGTGCCTTAACCGAAACACTTAAATAAATAATAACTAGAATATGTCAGTATTTTTCAAAACAACTTAACTGATATATGAAATTCTATATTTAAACAATATTTAAACAGAGTCATATCTATCGACAGATCTACATGCATACTCTCAGGTATTTGCCGAAAAGCAATAGTGAAGGTCTTTGGACTTTCTTGGCCAGCCCTGATGAATTATACAATTTATATTAAACTACAATGTACTAAACTACTGTTTTTACCTTGTCAATAAATGTTGTTTTCGGTATTCCATAACAATAGCACATTTTGGGACAACTACAAAAACATTCTTGTTAATACTTCTTCTTTACATTTGACCAGGACCTGAAAAACATATTAAGAAGTAGCTAGATCTAATTTTTTAAGTATTGTTTAACAAATATAAATCTAGATCTACAATATGATACATTTTAATTAACAGAATTGCTCATTTATAGATATATAATCATTAGACCTGAAAACTTTCATTACCGTAACGCTATCCTCATTACCGTTACCAGTTAACAAGTTACGGAAATGAGAGTTACGGAAATGATAAATATGATCAATTTTTATTTTTGAAAGCCCCTATGAGTGTTTGCAATTGAGAATCGTGGCTTATGTTTAAGATTACAATAGAATACTTATGTAGATTTTTGAAAATTTATGCAGTTCATGTCAGTTTTACATTTACACAGCGTACGGCAATGATGTTCCTTAAATGTACGCAAAAAATTGTACTTACCAATCAAAATGTCGTCTCCTCTTTCTGCCATCTAGCACACAAAAATCGCGTTCAAAATTTTCCCGCCTTTCAAAGGTTGTATGATGTAACATAAAATGAGTATTCAAGGGAGGCAATTCCATATACACTGATTTTTAATAAAATGTTACGGAAATGATAATGAGGTGATGGGACGATTTATGTGACATAAAAAGTCAAATTTAAGCATGGAATTTAGTGCAAATGTTTGAATTATCAAATGACATATCTTTTCTATTTTATGTTTATATAACAACTCTATTACAAGTAGAGAAACTGATAGCGAACAGCATGGATCCTGATCAGACTGCGCGGATGCGCAGGCTGGTCTGGATTCATGCTGGTCGCAAACCCATTATGTTGGTTTTGTCATGACACGGTTCATTTGTTAAGATATAATAATCCTTATAACGCTGTACGTTTGGAACGGTTCTTTTCATTGGCTGCTGTCAATTTATGAAGAAATCTCACTTAAAAAAAATAAAAATAAAAGATGCTTACTGTATTATTAATTCGTTATAAGTATTTCTGACAGGTAAAATGGCCGTATATTAAAAGTCGTTTACAATATAACCATCGCCTAGCGGCTCGGGTTGTATTTCCAAAACAACCGTTTATATAGAGCCATATAATCTGTCAAAATATTTATAACTTATAATATATTCTGTAGGTTTACAAAATTTTCAGTAATCATATCATTTCCTTATGGTAAAACCGGCTTTATGATGTTAATTTTCTATCGAAACTTTCATAAAACCGTTGATAATTTTGTCGGAAATATTTACCTTGACATTGATTTATGTTTTTCTTTTATTTTTATTCTTTTCACATCTGTAATGTCCGCGTCATTTTTTTTTGCAAAAACTGTGGTCCCTGAGGTCACGGATTTACATTACAATAATTGTAATATAAATCCGTGCTGAGGTTAAGTTCTTCCTTCTAATGTCGGGGTTTGTCTGAATCTAACAAGAATTTTTTTTTCACAGTTCATATGTAAAAATTTAATAAAAGGAAATTTATTTGAATGTTTTTTCATCAGTTGATATTACTACTACAGGGAGTTCAACAAAAGATAAAAGTTACAAATCTGAAGTCGAGCAATTACTAATGTTATAAAGTATCATTTCATAGAAAATGATGTAGAAACTGGCTGCAGTTAATTAACTTCCTAGTTAAATGGCGGTAATTGAGATGAACTTAAGACATAACTATTTTGAGGAAGATAAAAGCTATCAGGACATAATCAAGGAAAATCTATTTACTAAGGAAGGTTCTCGAATACTATAGTTTTGACAATGAATCAATTGTTAAAGATAAAATCCACTTGTTCATTCAGGCAGTCTCATTTTAGAAGCCAAAATGAAGACACTCGTATTTTTTATTAAGGAATGATCTTAGGGGAATAGAGATGGAAAATAAAACAATTTCAGTAACACCAAAGCATAATAAATGTGTCGGGGACGAGGAAACAGGTGATATAGAAGATGTGAAGAATGAGAAGAAGGGAGAATTAACAAATGAAGTCAATAAAACTGACGATACTTTTATACAAACTGAGATAGGACGAGACTGTCTAACAGCTGGGTGGACGCTAGAAGAACAGGATTTATTATGCTTACTTCCGGTGAAAAAGTCTCGACAAGAAGAATATAAAAACCAACGAGGTTTCCTAAAAAAGTGTAGAAAACCATTTTTGCCGAAACACGGTAAGTAATATTTGACAGATTAGAGCATTACTATAGTGTTTGTTTTAGAGTATGCGATACAACTAATTAAAATGCGATATATATATTTGATTATATTTGATCTGGCTGATTAACTTTTGTGAAATATAACATTTCACGGCCTAACTTTTTTCGTTGTTACCATGAGAGACTGGCTGATAAACTTTTGTTAAATATTTTCTTATGAGAGACTGGCCATACTGCTTATGAAACAATTGTATATATGAGCCGCGCCATGACAAAACCAACATAGTGCGTTTGCGACAAGCATTGATCCAGACCAGCCTGCGCATCCGCGCAGTCTGATCAGGATCCATGCTGTTCGCTTACCAACCCTATTACAAGTAGAGAAACTGATAGTGAACATCATCCAGGCTGGTCTGGATCCATGCTGGTCGCAAACGCACTATGTTGGTTTTGTCGTGACGCGGCTCAATTGTGTACCAGTTGAACATATGTCTTAGCAATCCTGTCCTGTATTTTATTAAGTGCCTGCTTTGGATATGACTTAAAACAGTAAGAGTTATAGAATTGTCCGGTAGAATTAAAATTAATTGCCTTAATTGTTAAGTGAAAAAAGATAAAAATTCTTATTAGAAACACAATGGTGATGCACTTTACAATGATTTTAATAACTTTACTTTACATGGAATATAAATATATTCTTGCACTAATGTAGGTATTGATTTGGACAAACCCCTTAAACTAGTTGTTGCATGGTCAATGCATTACGTTTAAATAACACGAAGGAAAAATATAACCTTTTATACCACTCATATTTTTTATGCACATCTCGATATAAATATCTATTTTGAATAAAGTTTTAAGAACGTGATAGATTGGTATATTTTCGGCATTTTACAGTCGATCCAAAATTAGACACTGCTTCGAAAATTGATTCCTTATTTTAATTAAATTATTTTTGTATTCGTCGATTTTATCCCAATATAGGGTTTGATTTTATGCTTTTCAGTGGATTACTGATTTATCCGTGAAAATTATATTTGATAATTTCAGTGAAAATTATCAAAATATAATTTCACACTTTTCAATGACGAAACTACTTTTTTAAGATTTTCCCCATGTGGTACCTCAATTTTATTTTGGCTGACAATTCTGACCATGTCAGGCTGTTTAAAGAAAAAGCAAAGCTGACATTGATAAATAACTTAAATGTCAAAAATAATAAAAAGAAGAAAACTCACTTCTATTCATTCAAATTCCAATCACCAAATTTCGTCTCTAAATTTTTTTGTTTCATTTTTACAGTCTGAAAAATACATTCCTTCCACATGCAACGCTGCTCTTGATGACATCTGGGCATATTAAAGTATCCTACGAGCAATAACTGCCGTATGCTTTATGAAAAATTGAAAAGCAATGACAGCCATCACTCGAAGAATAAGTAAAACAACCCAGCGTTCCTGAGCCAGATTCCAAGTTTTCCATTTTCCTAGCTGTTTTAAATGTTTTCCCATCTGTCAACACTTATTTTTTGTCTGTTACAATCCTAAAATAAGTTTTCTTTCTTTTAAAAAGGTGTATGACTAACAAATCCAAATGATATCCCTCTGAATCATACACAATTATTTTCCTCCCGTGAAATACACAACTTTAAAAAATGGCTACCGTTTACATTTTACAAAGCCAGGTCTAATATAAATTCGCAGTAAGTAACAGAAATATGGATGGATGGTTGGACTTTTTCTCCTACAAGAATTGTTTGTTTTTATTATTAAAACAAGCGATCATTCATATTTTTTTAATAAAATGAATAATATCACCGTCATTTAACGTTGATTGTCGGACTTATTTTTCAGCTCAAGACTTCTTGTTTTTAATGAGAAATTCCGACTAAATGGGGCTCTCAATGGGGAAAACAGATTTTAATATTAACGTTTATATTATGGAAATTACGTTTTAACTTGTTTTTAAGCATAAAATAAAAAGAAAATTTGTTTGTTTATTGTGTAAGATGTAATTTTATTTCATCTCGTGAACTTTAAAAACAGTATTCTCAATACTGTTTTTAAAGCCCACTCGATGAAATAAAATTTCATCTTTCACACAAACAAACAAATATCCTCTATGTTTCTCAGCATTTTTACATTTTGTTTAAGTAATATTTCATTACCAGGAGGACGTATTTAAACCCGAGACTGCATGTGAGCTTCTGTTGAGAAAAAGAAAAGAAAAAAGGTGCATGAGCGCTATTCTAGTATAAAACTACACATCTTAAAATGTAATTCCGCGATCCGTTATCTGCAGTGCGTATAAAGAAACCACGTTGTGTCATGCTTTGTAATGTTTTGTACTGGGGCCGTCGTGTGTAGTTTATTTATACTTGCCACCAGTTGACCATATGGGCGAGTATTAGTCACTTTAGATATTGGAGGACAGTGCAGGATACAGAAAGATGCCCCGGTGCCAGAAGCTTTTCCTGATTCTTAAACGTGCCAAGTATTGAAACTTCCATATACGTGACCTCGATCCAAGAGACTGGGGTCGACATTGCACGAGTCACACATATGCGCCCCGAGTCACACATAATTAAAAACGTGCGACACCACGTGGTCACGAGAATCTATCTTTGCTGAATATGTATACCTATCTGCCCAGTTTTTATCCAAGAATTTAGACTGGACATAGCTGAGATATAAGTTTTCTCTTCGAAATTAATGTTTTTGTTACTTTAATTTTTTGTAAGTGATATTTTTTACCATTATACATGTATATTTATCAAGCGCCTGGTGACAAATTTCAAACATCTACGTTATTTGAAAGCTTGATACATCAGATGAGAGATAAGATCGAAGATAAAGGTTTAGTTCCACATGATGTGTATCCGGACGGTAATTGTTTGTTCTCGGCTATTGTTGATCAACTCCGTGTCCAGGGTGACTTTAGTTTCACACCACACACATTAAGGCAGTCTGCCGTGAACTATCTGAGGAGGTATCCAGCAACAGTACGTACAAGTCAAGCTAAATAACTTATCAAAATCATGATATTGTATGCTAGTAAAGCCGTCTAGAAATTGAGAGTATATTTTGTATATACATGGTAATTATATACCTATAAATGAAATATTGAAAAATATTGATGATGCGTATTTTCATTTTTCCGTATTTTCACTGTAAAATTTTTTTTCACTGCAATGAAACATAGTTTCTGTATTTTCATTGGTGTCTTGCCGGACTACTTTCTTCTAAATTGAGTCAAAACAAAAAAATTAAGGGGTAGTATTTCAAATTGTAATGTGAAAAAAGAGAGAGAAATATGTATATAATAAACAGAAAATTTAAGTATTTTTTCTTGAGATATGAAAATTATCATATTTCACTCGTGGCTACCGCCACTCATGAATATTTATTTTCATACCACTCGATGAAAAAAACTTTAATGTACTAATCAACAGGATATTATGTACATGTATTTCAAACGAACGAAAATTATATAAATTCCGGCCAAACTTTATACGGGTATAAATGAGTAATTTGCTTAGTTTGCCTTTAGAAACTAAACGTTTCCTTAAACCCGTAGCAGGAAATATAATGTATGGTAACTTGAGATGTACAAAATTTATTTTAGATGAAGCTAAAACTGAGTCTGCTTACATTTTGATTGTTGTGCCGTTCTCTTGTTAACATTTAATGCAAAATGCAGAAAGTGTCCAAAAGTTAGTTTAAAGATAATGTTTGAATGTCAGGTCAATATTTTAAGATTTTCATTTGATTAAAGGACGATGGAACCTCGTTATCGATGTTCCTTAGCGATGGAGAAGACTGGGAAAGCTACCTACTCCGTATCAGTGAGGACGGTGAATGGGGGGATCATATCATTCTAGGGTAAATATTTGAATTACTGTATCATGCTATTACATCATACAATAATACAAGCGAGATAAACAGAAACAACAATAAAACAAGATTGCATTTGAGAAAAATGCTATTCCACCGCATTAATACAACACTAAATAGTAGCGTAGGAACAGATTTTTTTTGTTTCTTTACAATTGAAGATTGTCATAATGCATAGATCCCTGACCTATCTAATTCTTATTACCAGATTAGTGGTTGAATCTATTGTTAATCCAATAAAAGATCGGAGTAGGAATATATCAATGCACTTGAGTCTAGTGAATTTGGTGGTGAAGGTCCTATTTCACACAGCCTAAATTTCATGACTGCATCAAAAGACAACATGTAATACACTTTGTCAAAATCTAGGTCAGCTGATATCAAAGTTCACTTTTAATTTTGACACTAGAGGCAAAATTTGAACAACTTTGGTAGAGTACCTATAGATGATATCATTTAACAAATATTAAAGCTCTAAGCCTTGTTCCTTCAGACAATAATATTTTTTTTACTATATGTATATATTGAAAATCAATGACCCCGGGGCGGGGACATTTTTGACCCCAGGGCTATTATTTGAACAATCTTGCTAGAGGTTCGACTTCACAATGTTTCATGCAAAATATCTAACCTTTCAAGGCATTTGTCAATTGCTTAGAAGAATTTTTTTTTAAGTTTTCAGACTAATAAGTTTTTACATGTTAAATATAAGGAAAATCAATGAACCCCCGGGGCGGGGCCGATTTTGACCCCAGGGCTATAATTTGAACAATCGGGTAAAGGTCTACCAACAATGCCTTATGCAAAATATCTAAGCCTCTAGGCCCTTTTGGGTCTTTACAGTAAGGTATTTTAAGTTTTTACTATATGTACATATAGTGAAAAATCAATGACCCCGGGCGGGGCTGATTTTGACCCCAGGGCTATAATTTGAACAATCTTGGTAAGGGTCCTACCAGACAATGCCTTATGCAAAAATATCTAAGCTCTAGGCTTATGGGTCTTTAAAGAAGGTATTTAAGTTTTTTACTATAAGTATAAAATATACGTGGAAAATCAGTGACCCCCGGGGGGGGCCGATTTTGACCCCAGGGCTATAATTTGAACAATACTTGGTAGAGGTCTACCAGACAATGCTTATGCAAAAATATCTAAGCTCTAATAAGCCTTTTGGGTCTTTAACAAGAAAGATTTTTTAAATTTATTTCTTATAATTCTTTTTGGTTGCCATGGCAACCAGATTTCTGCATGGAATTAAATTCTTTGGAAGCTCTTTACCCAAGGATCAATCCTGCCAAGTTTGGTTGAAAATGGACTAGTGGTTTTTCACAAGAAGATTTTTTAAGTTCACTATATAATCCACACACACACACACACACACGCACGCACGCACGCACGCACGCACGCACACACACACACACACACACAGGTGAATCGCTATATGCCACCGCATCGCAGATGCTGCGGTGGCATTAAAACATAGACAAACTTCCAGTCAAGTATGGTAAAGCATTAACACAGTTACACGTGCCCAATGATGACGTAAACTGGTACCATGACTACCGAACATTTTATTGTAAGCACAAATTTTCCCCAGTAAAAAAACAGCATAGAGAACAGGCGAAGTAAGACATAAAATTTTCTGTTTCCTATCTTAACTTATCGATCATGATGTTGTTGAAATAATATAGAAACACTGAAATATTTATACATATGAAATAAGTATAGTTTTATAACCATGTATCGTTTTCAGAGCTTTGACAAATGTTGTTGATGAGCAAATAGTCATTTTTGGAGGAGCTACAGGCGACAGAGAAACCGTTTTCTATCCAAGATCCCTGACAAGTTTGTATTTATCAGATCTATATTGTGATCTTCTTTATGAAAAGTCTCATGTCGTCGTACTTTTATAATTGAGTTAATCACGATTAATATATCGCCTTTTGTCCTTTGGAATCATTGAATGCCGCTCCAGTCGTGAGAGATGTTGCACTTAAAAATTATCTCTCTTGAACAGCTTCAATCAAACCGAGTCTGCAGTTTTCATGTTATATGGATGTTGTTTTTTTGCTTCCGAGAGAAAACCACTTTTTCAGATCTTTATGTTAGATTCAAATAAGGACTGTGATGTATATAAGATTCAAATAAGGACTGTGATGTGTTTCGATGATGAAACTTTGATATATTAATACAACAAAACTGAATTTCGTTGACAATATACAAATAATATGATCGCTCAGACAAATATGAATGAAGTTTCTTGTAAAAAGACTAATCGTAATCAGTCTCATATATTTTTGTTGTTTATATTGTTTCTACTTCTACTTCTAAGTTGGTCATGTCTGTAAATCCGCTGTGCAGACATTAGCGACGAGTGTTGATGTGAAATGTGCTCCATTAAAAACGTGAGCTAAAACCTGTCCCCCATGCGCGGCACCAGGCGTTCGAGTTAAAATAATGTGAATCGTGACGTGAAGTAAAATCCAAACATGTATGTACACTATACACGATGTTTACCTATTTACACCAATACGACGTAAGACTGGACAGCAGTCTTAAAACTGTCCAGGTTGTCCTCAGTTGTGATGTTAGCTGGTAGAGAGTGAAATAAGAATCCCTAAAGAAAGCCCAACACGGCCAAATTGAAAATGTTGCAGGCTCGGTTTGATTGAGCCTGTTCATGGACGGTACTGTCAAGTGAAAACTACCGTCCACCCCCCTAGCACCGGCTTAAGCAGAATTCAACATTTAACATGAACTGGTAAAATTTAGAATTTTGAAACATCCGCAGATGTGTTCATATGGCGGTTATCATGGAACCTTCAATGTGACACGCTAGTGCCATTCCATGAAAAGCGGCATATGGTCTCCAAGTAAAAAAAATGCATGTGCCCCAAACGAGAAAACAATGGGCGGAACTAAATAAAATGGAATTTTGAAAGGGGATCTGAGGTTATGAAGCCTGCATATCACAGATATGACGTCAAAAGACAAATTTAAAAAGCAGGCCACATATCCTTAGGGTGATTCAACAGTATTCAAGGTAGGAATACTGGAACCACCCAACAAGAAAGATGCCGAATAGAAAGAACTAAAATAACACAAACACAACAATTATGTCGTGCTGAACGATCTTTAAGGATCGGAAATATAACATCCCTGATTGAATGTACGGGGCGACTTTTTACGGCCTCCACACGGCACAAACAACGCTGATGTGGCGATAAAATAGAGAGAAATAAGAATCCCTAAAGAAAGCCCAACACGGCAAAATTGAAAATGTTGCAGGCTCGGTTTGATTGAGCCTGTTCATGGACGGTACTGTCAAGTGCAAACTACCGTCCACGCCCCTAGCCTCGGCTTAAGCAGAATTCAACATTTAACATGAACTGGTAAAATTTAGAATTTTGAAACATCCGCAGATGTGTTCATATGGCGGTTAACATGGAACCTTCAATGTGACACGCTAGTGCCATTCCATGAAAAGCGGCTTATGGTCCCCAAGTAAAAAAGTTGTAGGTTGTAGTGGTAGGTTGTTCCAATAAGGCACAGTTCTTGGAAAGAATGAATGTTTGTACGCATTAAGTCTGCAGTGGTAAGTGACGAACTTTACCGAATGTGTGTATTTTGTTGACAGTTGTGGATGGTATTCAACTGGTACAGCCACCAGGTTATTTAACACTTTATACATGAGAATTAAGTCCGCACACTGACGACGTTGTTCAAGTGTTGGCCATTTTAGTTCGTGTAGCATTGATGTTACGCTAGACGGATTATTACGGTTGTATGGCTTATTTATAACGAATCTTGCCGCGTTCCGTTGTATTTGTTCGATTTTCTTTGATGTATTAAGTTGTTGAGTTGTTGAGGATTCCAAATTGGCGACGCATATTCCAGTTTAGGTCGAACCAAAGTTTGATCAGCTCTTTCTTTTACCGTGGTCGGACAGTGTTTTAAGTTCATCTTGATAAAACCAAGAGTTCTAGAAGCTTTTGCTGTGATTGAATCGATGTGTAAGTTATATTTCAGAGTATCTGCTAGTTCAACTCAAGATATGGATGGTTTTTAACAACATGTAGTGATTGATTTTTCATTTTGTAGTCAAACACAGATTAGTTACGTTTATTTGTTATTGACATGGTCGCACTTTTATCGACGTTCCATTTGCCAGATATAACTCCAATCAACTAAAGTGTCCAAGTCTTTTTGTAAAATATTGTGATCTTCACTGTTGAGTATGGGTCTATAAATTACACGTCAGCAAATAGGCGAATTGATGACTTATATAATATCCGAAGCGATGTCGTTAATATATAGTAAAAACAATGCAGGACCAAGCACGGTTCCCTGAGGCACGCCCGATGTTACCAGTGACGGTCTTGATGATTCGCCGTCTACTACCACTCGTTAAGGAATTCATTAATCCACAAATTGGTTTCATTACGTATACCATAATATTGCATTTTCACAAAGAGTCTCTGATGTGACACTTTATCGAAAGCCTTAGAAAAGTCAAGCACCGCCATATCAACCTGGTGACCAAGATTAACACTACGAGCAATGTCATCTGTAGATAATCAAAGTTGAGATTCACACGAGCGTTTAGCCCTAAACCCATGTTGGTTTTCGTGAAGAATGTTCTGGCTGTCTAAACGGTTCATTACTTGCGAAACTATTATGAGTTCAATCATTTTAGAAACAACTGCGGTTAAACTTACAGGGCGGTAGTTCGATGGTTTGGCACGGAAGTGTCATATTGAAGGTTCCATGATAACCGCCGTATGAACACATCTGCGGATGTTTCTAAATTAAAAATTTTACTATTTCATGTTTAAATGTTGAATTCTGCTTAAGCCGGTGCTAGGGGGCGTGGACGGTAACTTGCACTTTCCAGTACCGTCCATGAACAGGCTCAATCAAACCGAGCCTGCAACATTTTCAATTTTGCCGTGTTGGGCTTTCTTTAGGGATTCTGTATTTATCTATTTTATGATCATATCCGTGTTATTTGTGCCGTGTGGCGGCTGTAAAAAGTCTCCCCGCCCCGTACATTTAATCAATGATGTTATATTTTCGATCCTTGAAGATCGTTCAGCACGACATTATTGTTGTGCTTGTGGTATTTTTAGTTTCAACTTTTCGGCATTTTCTAGTTGGGTGGTTCCAATATTCCTACTTGAATAATGTTGATATGCTGCCTCCTTTTTAAAAATTTGTCTTTTGACGTCTTATCTGTGATACGCAGGCTTCATAACCTCTGATCCCCTTTCAAAATTCCATTTTATTTAGTTCCGCCCATTGTTTTCTCGTTTAGGGAACACGCTTTTTATTACTTGGGGACCATACGCCGCTTTTCATGGAATGGCAAGGAAGTGTCATATTGAAGGTTCCATGATAACTGCCGTATGAACACATCTGCGGATGTTTCTAAATTCAAAATTTTACTATTTCATGTTTAAATGTTGAATTCTGCTTAAGCCGGTGCTAGGGGGCGTGGACGGTAACTTGCACTTTCCAGTACCGTCCATGAACAGGCTCAATCAAACCCAGCCTGCAACATTTTCAATTTGGCCGTGTTGGGCTTTCTTTAGGGATTCTGTATTTATCTATTTTTTTGGTTCTGTCGCCTTTTTTGAAAATTGGTACAATGTTAGCGTTTTTCCAGTCCAATGGTACTTCAGGTTTATCAATTGACTGTTGGAATAAAGACTGAATAGTTGGTGCTATTTCAGTTACACATTCTTTCAAGACTATGATAGGTATTTTATCTGGTCCAGAGGCTTTCTTATGATTAAGTCTGTTAATACACTTAACAACACTATTTAATGTAACGTTTATCTTGGGCATCGAGCGGTATGGCGAAGTTCCTTTATTTGGTAGATTGTCCAAAAATTCTTTCGTAAATACTGAACAAAATTGGTTTTTCAGCATTTCTGCCTTATGACTAGCGGATCCGGCGATTTGACCGTTGTTTTTCAATGTTCCAATCTTCACACTGTCTTGCTTACGTGACTTTATATATTTCCAAAAGGATTTCGAAGATTTATCATTTTCTGGATCAAGAAGATTACTAATATAATTGTAGTAGGAAGTATGTAGTTTATTCCTTACAATTTTGCGAAGGTCACTAAATTTTTTATAGTCACTTGCGCTTTTACTTTTTCTTGCAATGTTATATATGTAACGTTTTTTTCTTAATAAGACGTTTGATGTTCTTTGATAACCACGGTATATCCGATTTCCATTTTACAGTTTTCTTCGGTATGTAATGTTCCATTGATTCTAATATCACTTGTTTAAAATTGTTCCAGTTTATTGTTGTAATGTATATTACGCAGAAACTCGCGCACGATCTTTAATTTTCGGCCAGTCGGCTTTTCTATAATTGAACACAGTTCTCGGCGGTAGTTTGTTGATAACCGGCTTTATAAATGTTGTTACGGATAAGATATCATGGTCACTAAGCCCGATAGGCGGTCCGACTACGTGTCGCTGTACAAGTGTTGGATGGCTCGTAAAGAATAAGTCTAAAATCATACCCTTACGTGTAGGGGTTCTAACAATTTGAAGTTATATCGATTAATTTATCACAAAAGTCTTATCCCTAGCGTTTGGCAATGTACACCCTTTATCCCAGTCCACATCTCCGAGGTTGAAATCACCCCCTAGGAATGTCTTCATATTTTTGTATGGAGAAGTGCACTTCGCTTTTAAAAGTGAATTTTCAAGTTCATCCAAAGTTTCTAAAGTAGCCTTTGGTTCTCGATAGAAAGATCCAACTAAAACTTGTTCATTTTTGTCAATTTTGATTTTAGTCCATTTTATTTCACAGGCAGAGTCTAGATCTGAACATTCCTCAGCTTGTAAACCAGGTCTAACCATTATAATAACACCACCATCTTTCCTGAATATTTGATATTTGTCAATAGATGGAATATTTGTTGGCAAAAGTTCAGCACTCAGATCTTCACTATTCAAATTCGTTTCAGTGTCTAAGATAACATCCGGCGCTTTACTAGCTATAATATTGTATAACTCTGTTTCCTTATTGCGAATACTCTGAAAGTTTATCACTTCAAAGTTCAAGTGAGACTTATTATCGTGGAATGTTCTAGAAAGCGAATGAATACTATCCACAGATGGGTTATCACTACTTGGTTCCATGTCACCCAAAATGATGATGTAAGTTCAGATTCAACACTACCCGAATGTGTCGATGTTACATTAGAAATAACGAATAAAAGTGTGATGCTGTACAAAAGCTTATTATGATGTTGTTGTTGTTCGTCACAAGTTTTGCATACCAACCTTTACAATGATTTCTTGTAATATCCTTTAGTTTTCCTTTCATATAACAACACGTAGATGAATTCACTTATAGTAAATATCTGAAAAAAGTGATCCTCGGAAGCATCAAAATTAGCAAAATAACATGAAAATTGCAGACTCGGTTCGATTGGGTCTGTACGAGTACATGAGGGATAATGAAAAAGTGCAACATCCATTACGCCCCGGCTTAAACGGTACTCAATTTTTAACACTTTTAAGTGCTGGAATCAATGATCCCTAAGGACCAGAAAAATAACTCTTATGCCATCCATAACCATGTGATATAAAACTTAATGATTCGGAAATGTATAAAAATGTATAATTGAATTATCTAAAAAAATGAATAAATAAACTTACAGGGAAACATGAGGTTTCGTCTTCAGGACAAGACAAGACAAATGAATATAACCCCATCTTTGTTGGTCATGTTAGTGACAGTCATTACATTAGTCTACGACCAAAGAATTGGCAACAAACCCTGCTGAATGGTATAAACATGTTTTCAATACAAACGTTTTCTTTTTTTAAACCCGCGATAATTTAAATCTCGCGATAAATTGGATCGAATTCTAACCTAACATGTACAAATGCAAATTTTGAGTTAAGCATTTTTAACTTTAGAATGGTTTGATTTGACATGTCTAATAATGCGATGTCATTCTATTCATTGAAGGTTTGCAGAATGGAGAAATAATGAGAAAGACAGCACTTAGAGATAAATCTATGATACAGTTTCCCGTGCAGCGCTTTAATATTATATTGCGATACATGATCAAGAATAACCTTATACAATCTCATTTATCACCTGTTGCTGACAGCTTGTCACAGCTTCTCATTGAGGAGAATGGATATCACACTGAGAATTTTGGATCATTCATTTGCAAAATGGTCCCGTATAAAAGCAAACAGACAGGTTATGCTAAGAATCCAGATCATGAAAAAGAAAATGAAAAAGATACTCTAAAAGCCAGCCTGACAATTTTCGAAATTCCTCATGACACCGATATAGTGACACAAATGACCAATTCTAAATCGGTCGATTTGTTGTTTGCTAGAACAGAACAAATGACTGCTGGTCATCTCAAACTATCTCCGTGTGAACCGAAGTTATGGCGCGGACAAACAGTATCTTCCATTGGGGGACGCATATTTTTACAAACGAATGATACATGCCATGACTCCGATAGCACACTGTTTCCACCGGGATTGTTCCAACTGAACATCGACATGCATTTTGTGTTAGCTTCCGATGTTCCCTAGGCCCAGATACCTTCAATGAAATGGCGTATCGTCACGAAACTGTCGGGTTCCAGAGTAAACAAGCAGTAAAAATCCGATTACAGAAAAGGTTGTCAATATTATTTCCAGTGACCTCATTTGCCAGAATGTCAATATAACTTGATGATCCTGCCGTTTATCTAGGACCGTCAGTGGACCATACATGGTGTTACTCATTCGCCGCTGCTGAAAAGGAAATATCCCGTATTCTTTCATCTGAACAAAGGCAGTGTTTTCTGGTATACAACACGCTAGTTGACATGATTTTGAAAGACATTGTACTACCAGCTTCAGTTGTCAAAAGCGTTTTCTTTTACGCCTGTGAGAATATCACAATGTCAGTGTGGAAGTCAGAGCCAGTCGAATGCATATTTCTGCTATTGAAAAAAATTTCAATTTGCATGAAGACTCGGCATCTTCCACATTATTTCATGCCTGAAAAGAATTTACTGGAGTCCATTCCTCGGAAAACAACTGACGAGTGCTTTGAGAGGCTAGAAAGTGCAAGAATGCAGCCATTTGTTCTAGTGTATCTCCTACTTGATCAGTACACGGATCTTTCGTCAAATATAGAAACTTTTGTTGAAGATATGATTGAGAATATCAGCTTTTATTCACAGAGTAGGCAAAACATAAGCAGACCTCCACGTAATTCATTTCAGAAGGACTCACAGTTCTGTAAAGATCTTATTTGCGAAGGGAACTACCAACTTGCCTTACTGGTCGTTCAGGATATTTTAGAAACAAATGGGAAAAGTTTAAATGCAGATGGCGTTGGACTGGCTGTCGACGTAGTCAGGGGGGTTAGCATAAGACAGTTATGTTGTTTTGGATTGTATGTTGACATTCAACATAAAACCAATTTGACAACAGAGCTGTGTAAAGGATACATGTGTGTTAGTGTGTCTGACGTGTTGGGTCCGGAATGTTGCGCTGATTTACCTGATACAATGGTTCCAGAGTGTTTTAGCATCTGTAACGGCGACTTGCAATTTGCATTGGATGTTTTTGACATATTAAAACAAGTTGTTAGCTTAACAACTTTCATCAAATGTATAAAGTTTTACCTGAAAAGATATAGAGATTTAGCAGGAGATTCCCTTATTCTTCCGGATATTGGATCGAAATTGGTCAGACGTGACTTTACAAGCAGAGGGATGAGTGTTGTGGGGGCGACAATGTCTACAACAAGTCTCACATTGTTACATTCGTTGTATGTAAATCTATTTAATACATGTAGACACCTCTTCGTGGAAGAATTTCGAGAAATGATGCCGACATTCGTGTTAATTGCAGAAAGTCTAGGAACGGCTTTGTCTTTGAGAAATATTGACATCATGCAGCTTGCCTTAGACGGGGCCAAAACATATCAAAGAATCCAAAACAGGTATCTAAAAAAGTAATCAAACAAGAAACAATGATCCAAAGAGCAATATTATTGAATTGAACACTGTGACGGAGAAATTATTTAAAATGTATAACTTGTAGGTACATCTATATACGACATGAAACAACCAAATAAGAAGCTCAACAATACCGTAAAACGAAATAATTAATTATCACGTCATGGATTCATTGTTTTGATCATTACCAGAAATACTAGTAGATCGCGATGAAATTTAACAGTATCTGGTTCATTCTGGTAGCTCTTTTACATTAACTTACAATATATTATATGAAAGGATATCTAAATGCATGCTTCTCTGTATATACCATTCTTTGAACAAATATAAATGATCTATATGTTACATGATGTATATAGTGCCGTAGCAATATTTGCTATCGTGACATCACATTGAATTTTCCCCACGCATGAGCATTCGAACTGATGACTGAAGATATTAAACATTCAAGAATATGATATTACACGTTTACATAATTATGTAAACAAACATATGCTTGTTAATGTATTAATTTGTTTGTAGCATATATGTATAACTTTTATTTCTTTTGACCGTTTCTGAAAGATCTAGAAGAACTAAGAAGTTATTATACATGTACTGAATACAATGCCGGAATGTATTATAAATACAAAATGTGTTGACTATATATGACTTGAGTATTATTCTCATAATTATATATGTACAGTAACAGTTGTACATGTAGCATGAAACAGTTGTATACGAGTAGCAGTTTTACATGTATAAAACGATGGCGGCATTGCATGTTATATGAAAGGTAATACGTTATCCCCAATTAAACAGATGGGATAGTCGATTACACGATATTTGCACGGCATGAAAAAGTAATGCAACACGTCATATGACGTCAGATATGACATCTGTTAACCAAATGAGCCGCGTCTGAGAATACATTATGTAAATGAGAAATGCATTTAGTTCAATACCTTGCTATGACATTGACTCTTGATATTGCAAGCAACACATCTACTTATGGTCATATAAACTACTTATTTAAAATCCTATCAAGTATGCAGAAAATACAGACACATACCCTAACTGCGCTCAGGGGAAACAAGAAGAGAAATATACTAAGTGTAATCCCCTGCTGTGACTTTTGGCATAGTAAAATGGAATTTGCAGGAAACGCGTCCTGACTTCATGGTTTGTTTGTTTGGGTTTTACGTCACACCGACACAGTATAGGTCATTTGACGACGTTCCAGCTTTACTGGTGGAGGAAGACCTCAGGTGTCCTTCCGTGCATTATTTCAGGCACGAACGGGCACCTGAGTAGAACCACCGACGTTCCGTAAGTTAGCTGGATAGCTAACTTTATGGTGGTCATGTGTACTAATAAATGATAAAATATCATCATCCAGAAGACAAACTCAAACAGCAATTGTGTTAACATATATATGACCAACTCGTAAGTACACTCCCCTGTGTGAGCAATTTTAATCCTCGGACAAGCCTTCAAACTTTTGTAGAAATCTTGATTTATATCTGTTCTTTGGGCATTGTTTATTCCATCAAAATTTTTTTTTACATGTTTTCATATACAAGTATACATAAACTTAATGACTCTCTTATTGATGGGTCAAATTTGACCCTGTGGGGACTTTGTGCCTTCAATGAGCAAAACAGTTGCAGGAGGGGTCCTGGATTTTAACAAGAGGGCCATGATGGCCCTGAAGTCGCTCACCTGTATAAAGGCCCCAGAGCGAGGCCAGTTTAAACCCCAGGGCTTTTACTTGAACAAACTTGGTAGACACCCATTAGAAGATGTTTTATGCTAAACATCTAAGGTCTAGCTCATTGATTTTTTTAAAAAAAAAGATTGTTTAAGTTTTAACTATACTCATATAGTTAAAAGCAATGACACCCCTAGGGCGGGGCCAGTTTTGACCCCAGGGCTTTTATTTGAACAAGCTTTAAAGACACTCACTAGAAGATGTTTCATGCTTAATATCTTAACTCTAGCTATTTTGGTTTTTTCAAAGCAGATTTTTAAGTTTTTGTTATACACATATAAGGAAAATCAATGTCCCCCGGGGCAGGGCCAATTTTGACCCTAGGGCTTTTATTTGAACAAACTTTGAAGACACTAACTGGAAGATGTTTCATGCTTAATATCTTAACTCTAGCTATTTGGGTTTTTTCAAAGAAGATTTTTTAAGTTTTTGCTTTACACATAAATAAAATCAATGATCCCCGGGCAGGGCCAATTTGGACCCCAGGGCTTTTATTGGAACAAACTTGATAGACACTCACTAGAACATGTTTCATGCCAAATATCTAAGCTCTACCTCTTTGGGTTTTTTAAAAGAAGATTTTTTTTTAAAGTAAAGTATTTGCTTTACACATATAAGGAAAATCAATGACCCCCGGGGCAGGGCCAATTTTGACCCCATGGCTCTTATTTGAACAAATTTAATAGACACCCATTAGAACATGTTTCATGCTAAATATTTTAGCTCTAGCTCTTTGGGTTCTTTAAAAGAAGATTTTATAAGTTTTTACTATATGCATAAAGGGAAAATCAATGACCCCTTGGGGCGGGGCCAATTTTGACCCAAGGGCTTTTATTTGAACAAACTTGATAAACACTCATTAGAAGATGTTTCATGCTAAATATCTTAGCTCTAGCTCTTTGGGTTATTTAAAAGAAGATTTTATAAATTTTTACTATATGCATTTAGGGAAAATCAATGACCCCCGGGGCAGGGCCAATTTTGACCCTAGGGCTTTTATTTGAACAAACTTTATAGACACCCATTAGAAGATGTTTCATGCCAAATATCTAAGCTCTACCTCTTTGGGTTTTTTAAAAGAAGATATTTTAAGTTTTTTCTATCGGTTGCCATGGCAACCAGAGTTCTGCATGGAATTAAATTCTTTGAACAATTTTTAAAGGTGACCACCAAAGGAACATTCCTGTGAAGTTTGGATGAAATTGGCTCAGTGGTTTATGAGGAGATGTCATTTAAAGTAAAAGTTTACGGACGACGGACGGACAACGGACGGACGCCGGACGAAAAACGATCACAAAAGCTCACCCTGTCACTTTGTGACAGGTGAGCTAAAAAAAGAGAGAGTGATGTCATTTAAGCAGTGCATGCTATCATTTTATCAAACATGTCATATACACTTATATGCAAAGATTGCTATATGCACACACATAATGTTCACAAAAGTACAAATGTATGGAATTGGATAAAGCATGGTTATAAAATAGGCACAAAACAACTATCATAACACAATTTACTGCACCTTTTTATCAAATTTAACAAACAATACAAACATTATACATCACAAAATTAATTATATATAATTCTAAGTAACAAAAATTTTATCTTATGATTTACAACACATTTAACACATTCTTGTGTGATAATGGTAACCAAAACATATTTCTCTCAACAAAATACATATGTACCAATATGTAATAATATAATATTAACAGAATGTAACCACATAGAAAATATAAAGCCCCAATATCCTTTAAAATAATTACATTGAACATGTGATAAGCTTGTAGATAAAAAATTTCACACACATTAGCTATACTTTTCTTGTCTTA